TTCTAAATAATTTCATCCGCCATTTTGGATCCGCCATTTTGATTTTCGAAAATCTAACTTTATATTCGTAATCAGCGACCTCAAAAATCCCTAGATAACAAGTTTCATCAAAATCCATCAATTTTAAAAAAATTTTCGTCCGCCATTTTGAATCCGCCATTTTGAATTTTGAAAATCTGACTTTATATTCGTAATCAGAGACCTCAAAAACCCCTAGGTACCAAGTTTTATCAAAATCCATCAAGTTTTACGAAAATTTCTAAAAAATCATCAATTTCTAAATAATTTCATCCCCCATTGTGGATCCGACATTTTGAATTTTGAAAATCTAACTTCATATTCGTAATCAGCAACCTCAAAAACCCCTAGCTACCAAGTTTTATCAAAATCCATCAATCTTTAAAAAAATTTGTATACCACAAAAAATTTGACGTTTTCTGAGGTTAGGAAAAAACTTACACGTGCTGGACCAAAACAGACACCGGATTCGTGTTCAGCGGCCTAAAATACATGGGGATAGGGTACTCGGATCTTCTAACCCAGACACTTTTTTATTTTGTGTGGCTGTGTTATTTATCATTATACTTACAATTTCACACAACTTGACTTTCCTTACTTATACTACCGTTTACGAGTATCAGGACGATTACACGCGATTCTATAAAAAAATGCCATTACTTTGTTAATCATATCTTGTAAATAAAAGGAGATACAAAAAAACTTAAATACAGTTAGAAAGATGATTAAATTTTGCGAAAAATAAGCCGTCTTTACAGTTATTTAGTTAACTATTTTTTGAGCTGTAGAGTGAGAAAGAAATAAAAAAAATTACCAAATTTTCCTAATTTTTGTCTCTTGACTTCAACTTTTTCAAAAATCTAAAAAAATTTAGATAAAAGTTTTTTGAAAACACAAAAATCTTTGTTATAATTTCAGCTTGAAAATAAGCCTTCGAAAATTAAGAAATGTTAATCCATTATCGATTTATCATTAAAAATGTGAAGCCGTGTTTCGACCGATTGGATTGGTGCATTGAATTATTCAACTCTGACAACTCGGTTCTGGCATCGCGCGGCTGCGAATGAGAGAAAAAGCAGGGACGAATTCATGCGGGGGAACGATAAACTTTTGAGTTTGTTTATATTACTCGTGAAACATTATTATTTATTATTCCCTAGCATAAATCCGTCCCTGTTTTATCTCTTATTCGTAGCCACGCGAAGCTAGAATCGAGTCGTCATAGTTAAATTCCAATGCACCAATCGTCGAAACTCGGCTTCACATTTTTAATATCGAAGACGAATTAATTAATTAATTAATCTTTTTTAATTTTCGAAGGCTTCTTTTAAGGCTGAAATTCTAACGAAAATTTCTGTGTTTTTAAAAAACTTTTATCTAAATTTTTTTAAAATTTTTGAAAAAGTAAAAGTAAAGAGAGAAAAATGAAAAAATTTGATAATTTTTTTCATTTCTTTCTCACTCTACAGCTCAAAAAATAGTTAACGAAATGACTTCAAAGACGGCTTATTTTACACGAAATTTAATCAGCTTTCTAACCGTATTTAAGTTTTTTTGTATCTCCTTTTACTTACAAGATATGATTGAAAAAGTGATGGCATGTTTTTTCATAGAGTCGCTTGTAATCGTCCTGATACTCGTAGAAGGTAGTGTAAAGCCTATGTTATTTAATTTTAAATAAAATATATATAAATTTTAAAATTCCCTCTAGAAACAATTTTTCCATCACATCGAAAAAGCGAAGTGTGAAGGCAATTTTGACTTTTTCGGTAAATTTTCTTTCTACTGATAGTCGTATAAATTCATCCTAATATAAATATTAGAATAAAAAATTCTATTTTACATCATCCGAGAAACAATAGTATATTGTACAACAAGTACAGAAAGAAGCTGTTTTTCGACTACGTGCAAATTGCTGCCCTCGCTTCGCTCGGGACAGCAAACTTTGCACTCGTCGGAAAATCTTCTTTCGTACGTGTTGCACACAGTACTTTGTGCAACACCTTTTGGTTTTGATAAAAAAAGCTGTTTGGAAACGCTAGTTGACGCCAACATACGTACTGTTTAGCAGGGTTTGGAACGTATGTTACCGCACGTAATATACGTGGTTTTCTACGCGTATATTACTGTAAAAAACAGGTATTCTACAAATAGAAAACAAATACCTATGTATATCACCAAAAAAACCCAAAAGTTTAAGAACTTTGCCGCACTAGTGCAGCAAAGTAAGCACTTTGCCGCACTAGTGCACCAAAGTAAGCTCTTTCCCGCACTAGTGCAGCAAAGTACTGTTTTGCGCCTACTTTACAGGCATGCAAAGTATTACTTTCCTTACAGGTGTTGCACAAAATATCTAGTGTAAACCTTTAAAATTGGCCACCCTAGGCAGCTTCCTACCTTGCCTACCTACCCAGATAACCAGCGTACTAGTACGATGCATGTACAATACGACTATGGCGTATTAATCGTACTGGTACTGTACTCGCCATCTACCTTCGCACGGTAACAGGTATTGTACTAGTATGTCGTACCAGTATGCTTATGCTCGTATAATACGAGTACGATAATAGTATGGTGTACTGAAGGTTTTTGTAATTTAGTTTATCGTACGGTTACTGTATTCGTACTATACTAGTACCGCGTGTAAAGCCTTTTATATCCCTCCCCCTCTTGTGCTTTAGTCTCTATTAACCCCTTCACAGTCGAGTGAAAATAAAGTTTTTGTGCCATAAGTGTTAAAAAAATTTTTTTTTTTTAAAAATCATGATATTGTCATATTATATGTTTTTGAGGTCACTGATTCAAAATCCGTGGTCGAAAAGTCAAAATTCAAAATGGCGGCTTCAAAATATCGACCAAAAAATTAAAAAGTTAACGAATTCGTTAACTTAAAAATTTTTTTTTTAGCTTTTTTAAAGCTGCCATTTTAAATTTTGAATTTTTGACCACGGATTTGGAATCAGCGACCTCGAAAACCCCCAAATAGGCATTTTAAGGCATTTTTAGACAGATTCGTTAACTTAAAAATTTTTTGGGCGCCATTTTGAAGCCGCCATTTTGAATTTTGAATTTTCGACAACGGATTTGGATTCAGCGACCCCGAAAACCCCCGAGTAAGGATTTTTAGCCATATTCGTTAACTTTTAAATGTCTTTTTTTTCGATGGCCCTATAGAGCCCATGGACATACAGGGCACGACATTTTTATGGCTCTATAGAGCCCACTGACAGTGAAGGGGTTAAGTATTAACTATATTTTAATTTAATATTTGATGATAAATTTTCTGAAAGAATCATTACTAAGATCAATTTAATTTTGAAGTAATTTATTTTTATTAAAAGAGTTATTTTTTTTGTTCCTAAAGATATTATGTAAATCATGTAACTTGTAACCACATTTACTTTTATTAGAATAATCAGTGTTTTGAAGTATATTAATTAAATAATTCTGTAGTGGTTTTGCTTTGCTAATTTTTAAACATTCTTTAAAATAACTGTGATTAATAACCATTTATAATCTAAAGTACTTTATTGTAAGGAAAATAATTTGGACGTTCTAACCTATAAATGATAACACATGTATATGTGATCTATAAGAAAAATTATTTAAAAATATTGCGATTTCTGTATATTTTATTGTAACTCTTGAATTAAAATTTTTTCTCAAGTGTAAAGCACAAAACAGTTTAAAAATCAGAAGTTGTCCATTGTTGTAGTAATTAGAATACGCTAATGATAAAAATAAGCATCATGACAAAGCAAAACCACTTGAGATTAATAGTATACACATATTACATATAGATGAATAGAAACTAAACCACTGATTTCTAATTTAAATATAATAACACATGTTACAAATATTAAAACTTTTGTATTGCATCCTAAAAGTCAGCTTTTCAACAAAAAATAATTGCACCATGTGCACTGGAGGCATATGTCATTGACAACTGTAAAGTAAATTAGGTTATGTTCGCATTACCACGCAGAGTACGGTGTACCGGCATGGTAATTGTAAAGGGACCATATGGAAATAGTGTCCATGCGGGACACCCGCTTATTTATATGATTTAGTAAACAAAAAAAAGGTCATTTGTGACAAGAAAAAAGAATCAGGGAATTTGTAGGAGTCAATTAGAGCGGAATTGAAACAAAGGCTCGTCTTATGACATTTACATATTTATATTATGCTTATTTTGTAACATTGAATCACATATGTTTCTGACGATTGAATTTTTCTTAAAATATCACGAAGTCTATCTCTCTCACACTTATATACGCTACTGTGCTAACCTGTAAATGCAGAATATTCTTAACTATTTTCCGGGATATGCAGGACATTTTATGTCAAATGCGGGATGTTTTGCGGGACGCTAGCCTTTGCGGGACAAAGGGGAAAAATCCGGGACAGTCCCGCACAATCCGGGACGTATGGTCACTTTAGGTAATTGTATCGTACGAATATGCTGTATTTTCATAAATGACAGTACAGCGTAATGGTATTATACTAGCCTCATACTTTTATGGAGTTCTTTTATTTAACAATTTCAGTCGTACGACATACCGTCGTTATACTGGTACAGTACCAATACGTATATACTTAATTATTTTGTGCTGGTACAATACGAGAATAATCTCAGTACGCCGTACTGGAAAATGACGATCAGTACGCTTGGCTATCTGGGTAGTTAATCCGCCACTGGACATGCCCTTTTGTACAATTTGTATTCCTGCTCCTGCAATCTAAGTTAAATCCAAAATTATAAAAGAATCGAAAAATCGCGATTTAAAAAAAGCGCTCAATCTTCGATTTTAATTTATCTTGCAAAATGGTCCTGAAACAGTCCCAAAAATAAAATCAGAGGTAGAGGAAAGTCGAAGTTGAAATTATTCGAGGACCACAGTGCTTTATTATTTGATTAATATACAAGAATGCCCACATACTATTTTCGAAAGGGTAGGAAAAATTAATGTATCTTTTTTTACCTGGTTTCGTTTGTAAACATGCTGGTACACCTGGACAGAATTGTTTATTTCCACAACTGACATCAATAATTACACAGATTTTTTGATTTTCACATTTTACTTCTTTACATAGATCTCTACATCGACACTGTTGGCATCCAGCTGCATCCAGTTCGTAACCATATGGACATTTTAAGTCACAGGAAAATGTACTACATATTCTAAAAAGCTTCCTGACTTCCTGGCAGTCGATTTTTTTCACATCTATATCATTTTTTAATGTAGTACCGTGCTCATTTACACATGAGAAAACGCCGTTGTGATATTGTAGAGCTTTGTAAGAACCATTTTCTTCGCACTGAGGAGGCGGTATTGCCAAATTCATTCCTTCTGTCGTTCCCTCCATTCGCTCGTTGAAATCTCGAAGGTATTCGCACACTTAAATCATTCAACATTAAAATATTTTTAGTATATATTAAAACAAATTAATCATTCTTTCTTCCATGCTTTGTATAATTATTTGATACCACCCAATTTTGTCCTACGGGTAGGGCAAAATGGGGTTTTAGCACTTTCTCAGAAAATACGATATATAGTTTCTTTTAAAAAATTTTTTCTCCGCTATTATCATAAAACACTTTTACAGCCAGGATTGTAGGCTTAAGATCCCAGAAAACGCCGTTACAAATCTGTAACAGAACTGTGACAAATAATTAAATAAGAACAAGTTCTGTAACTGATGACTCACAGGAGACTTACTGGGTACGGAAAATATCGTAGTCAAGGGGATGTCACAGTTAATTAACAGATCTGTAACATGGTGACAAAGCTACTCGTAACAGTTCCAGAACTGTTACAAATATCGGTTACTCATATCTGTCGAAAATATTGTTTGTAAATCATATTAGAATAGTGTTTCGGAGTGTCTTTCAGTCTCAATTGAATATTTTTAAGCATAATTAAGTGTGGTCAAATGAGTTTTCTAATGTCGCCCTAAAATTCTACATGCGCATTTAATTCCAATCATTAAAAAAATATTTAAATTAAAACAAACAAATATTTCATGCTGTTTTCGCATGTCGTACATACTTGGAATGTTTATATCTGTCGAAGAAAATTTGTTTTGCTATTTACCTAAATATTTACAATCATGAGGTCTCGAACGCAAGACGCAACTAGGGGCGGATCAAAAATCGAACGCTCTACTTTTTTTTAAATCATTTATTTTTAACAACAAATAAAATACATAGGTGATTTACGATGGAAAATGAATAAAAAAATCGCATATAATTCTTTGATATAAATAACAATAGGTGTCGAAAACGGGCTTACTAGAAGCCGATGTATTTACTCGCCGACAATAACAATTTTTTTTGTGTTTTTTTTTAATTAAACTTGAGTAAAAGGATTTTTTGTTTATTAAAATGTTTCCATTAAATAATAAGATTGTTGTTTTGTGATTTTATAACTAGAAAAGAAAGTGCTGCTATACAAACGATGAGTCAACTCTTACAAAAAAACTAATTCTATCTTTTACAACTATTTTTGAATGTCTTAATGGACGAGGGTCCTTTAATCTAGATATATTCAACCTTTAAACTCTATTGTTTTTCCTTTTAACAATATAAGATATTATAGTTTGTTTGATATTTTTTTTTCTTTACATATTTACCTATTTTTTTATTTTAAATAGGAGAGACTGAGGTAAACACGCTCACAGGGTGTCACGTCCCAAGTTCAATAATAGGGAATTTTGAATATAAATACGTTGGGGAATTCAACTGCTAAAATCACTAAAGTGTACCCTGTAAATAGGAGGAAGATTCAAATTCTACTTTTAAATGATAACAACCAGAAATACTTTAAATTTGTTACTTTAATGAACATTAAAGAGCCAAGGATTACAAGTTCGAGCCGAAAGATTACAACATGTAATCAGGTAGAGAGCTCGGAGATATCTAACGAGATGAGATCCTGTTGTCCATGGGTCCCCATAGGACCCTGCGCGCGTTGAGTAGAGGGGATGACTACCCCTTCCTTTGAACTTCTCTGTGACCAATACAACCCTGACGGAGTGTTATTTTACAAGTTATTTACACATTCATACTATTCTTTCATTATTTAAATTTAACATTAACAATATATAAAGTTAATTAATATTTTTTTCGTCAATTACCAAATATATACACGGAGAAAATTTATTCCTGAAATTTTACTGAATTTAGTTCGGTAAAACTGGGATGAAGTGTCAAAACAGTAATTTTTCAAGAACTAGACTGTAAAAGAAATTGCATTGAAAAATAATGTAAAAATCATAAAGCTCACGATACATGTATTAGCGCTTCAGTTACAGTTCGGTAAAACGTAAGCCAAGTGCTCTCTACATTCATATTTATTGAATAGTTCGGTAAAACGTAAGATAAAGTCTTCGGTAAAACTGACGAGTTGCAATTTATTGAATAGTTCGGTAAAACGTAAGATAAAGTCTTCGGTAAAACTGACGAGTTGCAATTTACTGAAAGTTCGGTAAAACTTGAAGAACAAAAATAAAAAATAATGTTACTTCAGTAGATCTATATTAATACTGCCGTAACTCTCAATTTACCTACTTCAATCACTACCTAAACCCCCTACAATTGTTTACGAACAAATACTAATTGATACACCTGCCTACAGTACATTCTAAACGCATACACTAATACACACATCGCACGCTTTACATTAATGCTTCAGAAAGTTTCAACTGTCCTTATATATTAATCTCAATTTTATTTCACCGCTTGTGAGAAAGATTCAAATTAATAAACTATCGTTGTACAAAATTAAAAATTATTTATATTAATGAATCATTTCTAACTATATTCAAGGTCAATTTATGAAATATTTTTAAATTATGTTTTTATTATTATAAAGAAAAATGTTTAAATTTGTATTTAATGGAATAAAACAATAATTTATGAAAATCCTTATTATTCTCAAATTTTTGTGTTTAAAATTAAAAATATACATATTAAAAGTGCAAGTTGGAAATTATTAAATTTATTAATAGAAAATTAATCTTTCTGAAATATTAAATAATAATTGTGAGGTATTAAAAAGCGAAAAGGAAATAAGCAAGTAAGCAAATAAAGAATAAAGTAAGCAAGAAGGAAATAAGCAAGTAAGAAAGTAAGCAAATAAGAAAGTAAGTAATCAAGAAGGAAATAAGCAAGTAAGAAAAGTAAGCAAGGAGGAAATAAGCAAGTAAGCAAAGTAAGCAAGTAAGCAAAGTAAGTAAGAATGAAATAAGAAAGTAAGAAAGTAAGCATATAAGGAAGTAAGTAAGCAGAAAGGAAACAAGCAAGTAAGCAAGAAGGATATTAGGAAGTAAGCAAATAAGTAGGTAAGCAAGTAAGCAAAGTAAGCAAGAAAGAAATAAGCAAGTAAGTATGCAAATAAGAAAGTAAGCTAGTAAGCAAGCAAGTTATTTCCTTTTTGCTTACTTACTTATGTTTACTTGCTTACTTACTTACTATTATTCATATTTAATTAAAATGAATAAATTATATGTTAAAAAAATAATTATGTTATTGCCATTTTATATTTTCTTTTTACTTGATTTAAAAGCATTTATTACATATTTAGCAATTAATAAGTGTTTGAAATAATTAATTAATTGAATTTTAATTTAAATAATAATAAAATGATTATTAATTAAGTCTAAATAAGTTGGAAAAATCAACTATTAGTGTGAAAGTCTTTCATTTGACTGCGGGACACTTGAAATAAAGTATTTCAATCCAGAAAACTAAAACTTTAGGCAAGTCAAGGAAGTTTTACCGAACTATTCCTGAAAACTAACACTTTAGGCAAGTCAAGAAAGTTTTACCGAACTATTCCTGAAACGTTAGTGCCCATCAAGGAGGTATTTATTTAATTTACATTAAACGTTCAGTTTCAATTTTTTTCAACTTTTACAGTACTAGTTCTTAAGGAATAAAGATATCACATTAGATTTTAAATATTGTTACCAAAAAATTAATATAAAAATTATTAAAAATTACGATTATGCTACTATATCCCAACTTTATTGAAAAATTCGGTAAAATGTAAGGAACAAATTTTCTCCGTGTAATAATCGGTTTCAGTTAAATTCATTCGGAGTATTATAATTACATTTTGTATCTGTATATTTAATTACCATAGAATTATGGTAACTTTGAATTACTAATAAGATATTACAATAAACTTAGATAATTTGTATCATAATACAACTTATTATTATTTTATTATTATTATTATTATTATTATTATTATTATTATTATTTTATTTTTTTTTTTTATTTTTTTTTTTTGTAGTCGGAAGTGGAAAATCTGCGAATTCAGATACCTGGGTAATGAATTCCAGGTTATGTGGGGGTGACCGCTCTTGTTCTGGTCTACCCACTAAAAACCACTCCCGTCTTAATTTGGGACACTTGATCCACCTGCGGAACTACCGTCAGGCCTTCAACTTCGCAAATGGTGGTCCCCTTGTCCTACTCCTTAACTGGGCCTTAATCCGCTCTAGCTTTGTGGGAACGTGGGTGGGAGGAAAACTAAATGATTTTCTCCCCCCTACACTCACACACAGCTGAGCACTGGACTCCTCCGGTCAACATCGTCTTCCGTCTCTTGCCGCTCTTGTTCTGGCATTATTTCCTCCTTGTCCTTGACAAGGAGGAAACTCCAAGGTTAGCACTCCAAGGTTATGTGGGGTTGGTATGATAAAAAAACAAAAAGAAATATAAAAAAAAAGAAAAATAAATGTTATAATAAATTTAACAAACTGGCGACCTACTACCAGCCCGACCCACTAAAACCCGTAACCCTTCTTTTGGAGCCCTTTACCCTCCCTCGGAACTGTCGTAAGACTTTAGCCTTCGAGGGTGGCGCTCCGACTCTGTCGCTAATGCGACTTTCTGCTTTTCTCTGCGGTTATCCTGCGTTAATAGTTAAAAATTTTAAACTATTTCAATATAAAAGCGGAATTAACAGCACAACAATAATAAAAAAAATGTTTAATCAAGTGTAAACAGTCAAAAGATAAAATTGCAAACGGATATAAAAAAAAAAAAAAAAAAAAAAAAAAAAAAAAAACGCGTATATAATATTAAAAACATAAAACGGAATAAATTAAAATTGTATAAGGACAAATAAATCACAAAATAAATTAATAAAAAACAAACGAATAAATTGAAAGCTGTTTAAATTACGCTTTTTGGCGGCCGTCGAGATCCTTCCTCGACATAACCAAGATTATGAAGTTCTCGACTTGCCGCCAATTCTCCTCTGACTGGGTCATCAGCGATACCATGTTCTCCAGTGTAACTTGACTGTTTACACCTTCGAACATGGCCCGCCTCTCCAAGTCCCATTTCTTGCATGAGAAGAGGGTGTGCTCCGCGTTGTCCTCAGGG